CGTGTAGGGTTGCCAAGTCTATTTATCTTGGCGGCGGGGGAGCCTCGCCGGGCTCCGGGAGTCGTAGGGGGACGTGTGTGCGACATCGATCACGTTGAGGGTGTGGCCCCGATCGTCGGAGGGAAAACCATAGAGTTTTCCCTCCGACGATCGGGGCCACGCCCCCAACATGATCGACGTGGTTGCGTCACCTCTGGTGATGCAGCCATGCTGCGCTTCGGGGGGCGGAGTTCCCCCCGGGGCCCGATTCCACAGTGGTGGAAATCAGGCCTCCAAAGCTGGGGTTTACCCGCCCCCTGCCCCCCACTTGGAAGCCCTAACATCGTGTGTTGAGGCATATTGTATATCCAGTATTAGATGGTTGATAGGTTTTAATCTTAATTGATTTATGTGTTTTAAACTTTAATTGTAAATCTGCACTGTGTGCAGATCAATCTGTTCGGAACCCGCTCTGAGCCCGGTATGTGGGGGAGGGTGGGATATACATTTAATAAAATAAAATCATGCAATTAAATACAGCGTCTCACAAAGTGAACTTTGACTAACAAAAGCTGATACCTTGGAAAGTCTTGTGAACGGAATTTTGCTCGATTACGATAGACTAACACCCACCCAAACGTCTGAGAACCTTACCAGAACGTTTCTCCTCCAGGTGAGCAGGAAGGCCTGTCACGCTCATCAGGGATTTGACACCCCTGTCAAACTTCTCTTTGAACTCAACAGCTCTTTTGTCATCATCAAAAAGACACTCAAAGGATGACCACGGGGTCGTGTGCAATTCAAGTTCACCAGAGACAGGGTTGTGCCTTGCAAAGAGATACTTAAACTGCCATATGTGATCTAAAGGAAAACAACAACCATAAGATGGTTAGATTCCAATACACTGTTTTTACTTTGGGACAGCCTTATTTGCTTTGGAAGAAATCTTTCCCCCCTTTGCACAAAGTAGGCTTGTAGTTATTGTGAACAGGCTCGAAAAGGATGGAGGAAAAAAATTAATGCTTGGAGGGGAATTTCAGTTTCAAAAGTCTTGATGAATCTTAAATGTGTTGTGCAAATAATAATGCCGTATTATAGTAGTATTTTGAGTATTTAATGTGGTCGACATCGACTGGAGTGGCTCAGGGAAATGGGGAAACATTATGCAAAGGGAAGGTGTGATTGTGGCCCTGCCCTGCCAGACCAGTCCGTGTAACGCTTGCATATGGTCTACTATGCCTTTAAAATCCAAAGCACATGGACGGCACCATCTGAATCAACCCCATTAGGTGGCTGCTGTTCTCTCAGCTTCAGCTACCACTCAAGTCATTCAGGCTGAGAGAACAACAGCTCTCTCTGAATTCAAGTTCGGGGTCAGATATCAACAAGGGATTTTCCAGCTTGTGAATAGAGCTACCATATATCACTTGTCTATGTAAGCCCAGCTACAAACGACTATCCATTAGAAGATGGCGACTTCTCCGTTTTGCATTTTTCTGCGGAATAAGATGGCTCTCCCCCAATTCTGATGGGTGGTGGTGGAAAGCACCCTCAAGTTCCACCCAACTTATGATGACCCCGTGGGGTTCTTAGGGCAAGAGATGCTCAGAACTGGTTGACCATTGCTTGCCTCTGTGTTGCGACCCTGGGCTTCCTGCGTGGTCTCCCATCCAAGTACTAACCCGGGCTGACCCTGCTTAGCTTCCAAGATATGATCAGACTGGGCTAGGCCGGGCCATCCAGGTCGGGACCTCAGTTTCGATAAAGTGAACTAATGCGGGTCATGTTGCTATTAACACATCATGTTACTACTTGTCAGAACCCACAGCTTACAACAGAGTACACGCATTCAGGAACGGTTATACTTTTATTGCAAAGCTATAGATGCAGTAACACAGGCACTGTTGAGAATGGCGGCGACCCATAGAGCCTAATAGGATATAGGGTATTCGTATGCACCCCCCCCCCGGCATGGGCCAATTAGGTACCCTCCCGCACGCGGGATAAGTTAGGAAACCGTTCGGTGGCTAAAGCTGGGAACCAGGAGTCTCTCACGGTACATGGGAGACTTCCAGACAATACAACCTCCTCCTGCACATCTGTAGAGATAAGCGTTTCAGCAAAGACAGGGTTCAAACGACTCACAATAGAATAAGTCGCAAGTTTTGTGACAAAGGGAGGAACAGTCGCCGTCACATTGCTGGAATCTTTTTGTCTTAATTTGAAGAAATATCGACTACAAAAAAAGACTTCTGATATGGCTGCCTGTTGCATGGTACCCTCCCGCGCGCTGGGGATGCCGTTCGGTGGCTAAAGCTGGGAACCAGGAGTCTCTCACGGTACATGGGAGACTTCCAGACAACACAACCTCCTCCTGCACATCTGTAGAGATAAGCGTTTCAGCAAAGGCAGAACAGCAGGGATAGGAATGCAACAGCAATTAACAAGACACAGAATGAACTCCCCAACCCCCATGGCAGCATAGCTGACATTACTTTAAATTTAGGAGAAATGCTACTACACCACCTGAGATCTCCCATCCCACCCCAAGGTGACACTCTCTCATATGAAAGGATGTCATGTGAATGCTTATATTTCCACCAGGAATGGACATCGCATGCCGAGCTGCTCTCCCCCTGCTGGGGGCCGCGAATGGCCGTCACATGCCGCAGAGTTGTCGTGACCCAGAACCCTGGCTGGCATGAATCGGACACCTGATCCTAGTAGCCCTGACAGGATCAAACACGGAGGCTTATCTCACACAGAGGGATGTTTGGACAGCCAGGAACACACAGTCTTATCAGGCATTCTAGAGACGGTCATTTAATGATTAAACATGGATGATCAGAAGCCTGAAGCAGGCGGGTTCAAATGACTCACAAAATCCCAACTCTAGAATAGGGAGGAACCATCGCCGTCACATTGCTGGAGTCTTTTTGTCTTAATTTGAAGAAATATCGATGAAAAAAAAAGACATCTGATATGGCTGCATGTTGAATCCCCCCACCCCCGGATCTTCATAAGCAGCATTTGGTGCTTTATGAGAACACCGGAGTCGCTGGGAAAGACAATAATGCCAGGGAAAGTGGAAGGCAGCAGGGATAGAGGAAGTCCCAACAGGAGATGGATGGACTCTATAAAGGAAGCCACAAAGGCCCTCAGCCTGCAAGACCTGACCAAGGCTGTTCAGGATAGGATGTTTTGGAGGACATTCATTCACAAGATCGCCGTAAGTCGGAAGCCATTTGATGGCACTTAAGACACAGGCACAGCGATAAAGAACAACATTTGCACAATTCATACCATTTTCTTTAACCATTTAATAAGTCGTCATGAACATGTATTTTGATTCACTCACCCTATTAGAATGACCTCCTACTACATAAGATGGGGAAAGGCATTCGGAAAACAGAGAGCCAACTTTTGAGAAAAACAGAGCTTTGGTTTTATTTATTTATTTATTTATTTGGCCCAAGCAGGAGAGGCATTAATTCGTTTCACAGAAACACCGTATGATCTGTTTGTCTGCATAATCACATGTGCAGACACGCAGCACACGTTAAGAATTTAATTTTTATTTATTTGATATGCAGGGCAATTTTTGTAGAAAAAGTCCAGCAGGAACTCATTAGCATAATAGGCCACACTCAGGCCACACCCAACAGCAGAAACTCATTAGCATATTAGGCCACAACCCTGACAGCACAGGTCATTAGCCTATGAGGCCACACCCCCATGTCACCAGAAGTGTGGTCATCCAGCCACACCCACCTTTTGCTCCTTATTCTGTTTACCTTGTTTGTTGTCAAAACCCAGGGCTTTTTTTGTAGCAGGAACTCCTTTGCATGTTAGGCCACACACCCCTAATGTAGCCAATCCTAATGAGTTCCTGCTGGGTGTGGCCAACTTGGGAGCCAGCCGGAACGCTGTTCCTGTGCGTTCCTGCCCAAAAATAGCCCTGTTGATACGTATCTTGCTTGTCCATCATAGAGATCAGGGCAGTGCACCTTCTCAACAGGCCTGTGAGGTTTTTTATTATTTCTCGTATGGCAGTGACGCCAGGAGAACCTAAGATTGTCTGGCAGCCAGAAGTCCCAGCTCTTTAACTTCATGCACCATTACGTGGTGAGCTAGACTTGTTTTTTGAGGCAAGAGATGATTCAGAGGGCGGTTGGCCAGGACCTGCCTCTGCATCAGGGCCATCATGTTCCTTGGAGGTCACCCTTCCAAATACTAGCCAAGGTCGACCCCTGCTTAGCTTCCGGGATCTGATGGGATCGGGCAGGGCTCTTTTTGTAGAAAAAGCCCAGCAGGAACTCATTAGCATAATAGGCCACACCCAACAGCAGAAACTCATTAGCATAATAGGCCACACACCCCAACAGCACAGTCCATTAGCATATTAGGCCACACCCCCATGTCTTCCCTTGACTTGCCCAGTTGCCCCACGGCTGCGGGATGCCTGGCAAGCTGGCCCTTAAATGCCTCCCCGATCCTTCCAGGCCCCCCCGCACCGCCTGCCTGCTTCGGAGTCGCAGGGGGGGGGGAGGTCACTCTCCAGGCCTTCCCTCTGTAGCCACGAGCACAGATGTTTTAGCTGTAGTGGGCATGGCCAACTCCGAAGCCAGCCGGAACTCCGTTCCTGTGCGTTCCTGCCCAAAAATAGCCCTGGGATTGGGCTAGCCTGGACCATCCAGGTCAGGGCACTCCCTGTGAGGTAGGCTAGGCTGAGAGCAGGGCTGGCCCCTGCATATTTTGCACCCTAGGCGAGGATCCCTTCTGGCGCCCCCCGTCAAAGCCAGCAGGGGCGCTTTTGGCGGGGGTGGGGGTGCAGTTTGGTGCCCCTAAGGGCCGGGATGCTCTAGGCGAACGCCTAGTGAGCCTAGTGAGCGAGCTGGCCCTGGCTGAGAGACACTACAGGCCCAAGATCACCAGTGACCTTCGTGGAGGAGTATGGATTCTCTCTGGTCACGCTCCTGTCACTGTATCCCCCAACTATCTCAATAATAACCCGTCACAGCACTGAAGCGTGCAGGCGTGTACTGAGCGTCTGTTCCCAGGGTTCCACCCCACTCGAGCATTACACTGAGAAACTGCTCCCAGGCAGGGCTGTGCGGTTGACAGAGGTGGTCTCCCTTCCCAGTGGCTCCCATCGAGTTCTACGGAGCAGCCTTTGGGAAACAAGCACTGAAGTTGCCCATCCCCGGGGAGTTTCCAAATGTAGTGTAGCGGTTAGCAGTGTTCCCTGTAAGGTGAGTTAGTGTGAGCCAGCTCACAGTTTCTTAGCCTCCGGCTCACACATTTCTGTCTCAGCTCTGGAAGGAGGGCTCCAGAGCAAACTAATTGATGCAGCAGCCAAATCGCCCGCTCACAACTTTGATGCCGGTAGCTCACAAAGTAGAGTTTTTGCTCACATGACTCTGCAGCTTAGAGGGAACATTGCGTGACAGCACTCCCATCACCACTTCAATTCTTGCTGTCCTACAGCAACACTTTAATACACCCAATTCGTTTCCTCAACAAGGAAAGGTAACCATAGATCTGATAATCCCTCAGGTCTTTGCTTTATACTCCTGCCAATCTAACCCTCCAGGCCCTAACCAGTGTTCCCTCTAAGCAAAGTTAGTGTGAGCTAGCTCACAGTTTTTTAGCCTCTGGCTCACACATTTTGTCTCAGCCAGGGCTATTTTGGGGCAGGAACGCACAGGAACGGAGTTCT